TGACGTCACTCTGACGTCATTTGTGACTAACCTCTTATAAGAGCTCTGGAAAAATTTGGTCACAAGGTGTAAAAATGATGCCCGGAGAGGTCTTGAAAGTTTGGTGGCGACCTACGCTATACTTTAGGAGATATCGACTGAAAAGGAGAGGGGGCTGTTTCGCGCCCCCTCCCCCCAACGGGGCTCGAGGCTTTCAGTTGTTGCTCTCACATAACTCTTGGTTATATTACAACGTAGTGGAATTGCAAGTGGCAATATAAGCTTCCTGCCAGCGCCGGACCCGAGTTTAAACATGCAGGCTGAATTTTAACATTTGACTTTAAAATTTTTACCGTTGAGCTTTTTAGAAGTTGTATGAACTGTTCAGCTCCTTTTTTGGTCCATCACAGCGGGCTTGTGTGTCATTTGTCAATCAAAATCGAATTAAAAACTTTTTATTGGGTCTGGTTATCTCGCCAAATTCTTAACTGAATCGTTTAGTAGCTTTTGATTGGGCACTGCCCACGTTGTCTGTCAAACTTTTTGTGTCAACGAGAAGAGGCTGCTGACATCGTTTGTCGCGGTTAGATAATACCAATCCACGTCCCAGTGTGGCTGCTCGATCGCACTTTCCCTGGCCCACCTCTCCCACCAGGCTAGGTTTTGCCCGGCACAGCCCGCACAGCCGTCGCCTCAGTGCCTCGGGCGGTGACCCGTTCAAAGGGGCTCACAATTCGTATGGTGCCGTGGCTCTCAAACCAACACAGAACGGTGAAACACACAGGCTAACCTTCCATATAAGGCGAACGGCTGATTCTGGCGCCGGGGCTTCATTCATGCTAAGGCGCCCAATCACAGCACCGCATTTCAGTTAGTGTCGGGCGAAAAAGCTGCTATGCTCCGCCCCTCCATCACGTGACCCTGCCCTCACGTGGCCTCAGTCACGTGGTGTTTCCACTTCTTGGCGCATGGCGGCGCTAGTCTCGCAAGGGCGGTGGTAGCTTGCTCCCCCGCCGTCCGGGGGTGATGGGTAGCAAGTGCTGGTGACTGTACACCAGAAGTCCCCGGCCGGGCGACCTTTGAAGGCCACAGGCGCCCCGGCGGCTGACCCAGTGTCGCTCCAAACACACGACAGGGACCGCCGACGGTGGCGACGGAGCGCGCGTCATCGATCGACGACGGCATTGACTCGGCGGGCCGACCGGGCCGGTACCGCCACCACCGCCCGCGCGGGATCACCGGAGGGGGGGGGGGGGGCACCGTCGGCAGGGCTGGAGCAGGCAGGGCTCGGGGTCGGAGGAAGGCTCGGGCAGCGGAAATTAGGTTAGATGCGCTGATCAGAGGAGTCTAAAATTGGGAATGTGGGTATGAGAGGGCTGTGTGGGATCAGCTATCTATAGGAATCTTGAAGTCGGCATTGAAACAATAAGAATAGAGACTAACTAATAGCAAGGCTGCGATGGCATACAATGTTTGCGTCGTTGGGCTGTGTTACCTATAATCATAAATCAATAGAAAATGCAAATTAATCAAGCGGTATCTCTAAAGATGTCTGTAAAACGAATAACTAAATTAAGAGTAGCATCAATTTACTAGAACTGTCCACTGGAAATATGTACCATATGATAAAAATATCGAAGCCTTTCATCTGTTAGTTGGCTGTATTTGATTACTTCGGAGCATTCAATGCTCTGCCGCAGACTTGGCTGAAGGCTCACGCTACAGCCGTTAGATAACGGTGAGCAGCTGTGCAGGGCGGCTATCACGAAACGAGGGTAACGGCTGCGGGGGCCATCAGTTCAGCACGCGGATAGCGGTCGAGGGGCAGTTACCCCGCACAGTGGGCCAGGCGCATCAAAAAAGCGGAATTAAGTCGAAAATCAACTTCGGTGAAATTCCTGTAATTATGGGATAGAGTATTGTAAAAATGTCCAAAGTTTCCGAATAAGCAAGTTTCCTTTCCCCAATGTCAAGGCAGATAATGCTATAACGTCGCAAAGTAGGACTTACCGACTGGAGATGGAAATGAGAATGACTGCTGTGTACCATTTTCCGTTCCCTCGATTCAAAAGCTCTCAGCGTAAAATCATTAAAGTTATTCCGTACAAAATAGCTTTAAAAAAACAGCCGGTATTTCTGCGCATGTTTCTTGTACTCAAGTTCCCGGGAACTATTTCATGCTTACTAGTAGCGGTGGGGTTTACAGTGCCTGTTCGGAACCGTGGTAGTGCAACGACGCAATGAATTTATATAAGGATATAAAGAAAACATCACCGAACAACACGAAGATATTTGCTGCCTGACTTTCCTCAAGGTGTATAGCTTGCTGCCCGATGCAAATATTTTGCGCATTTTTGCGCGAAATGGACAAATAAGGGTTTAACCCTCGCCGGCATAGGCCGTTTTGCATCCCTCGACGGCACAGGGGGATGCGACCCTCCTCGCGTTTGGCCCCTAATTGAGCTAGAGCCTCGCGGAAAAAACCATCGTGTAGGTCGTCACGAGACGAAGCCAACGGTACCCGGTTTTAAGGTCATAGGTCAAATGGTGACCTCTGAGGTCAGGTCAATGGCCGAAAGTCGGGACCTGTTAGAACGTCGTATAGTGTGGCTGCTAAGGGGTTTTCGGGATGCTGATCACGAATATCATGTTAGTTTTGATCACCGATGATGTCTTCATGCATTTAGGCCAGGTCGGGTCAGCTCAGGTCAGGTCAACCAGTATGGGTCCTGCCGGGTATTCGTAGTAGGTGTCAACCCGCCTCTGACAGCTTCGTAACATGTTACGAAGGCACCAAAACTACTTCGTTAATGTTCAAATGGTTCCTAAATTCGAATTCAGCTCCAAAAACTAGCCCAGAAACATGTAAAACTCGAAAAAATGAACCGAGGTCATCGAAGGTCAATGACCTGACCTGACCTTCAGGTGACCTTTACACCCACCCTAATGCATGGGACCAACATCATATCACATGTTTGAACGCTTGAAACCACGAAAAGACTGCAAACGCGCGGCCAATGCGGCATAGTGCCCGCCTGTCCCAGGCATATGTGCAGCGCAGAAATTAAATAATGACGTCATAGGTCAGTGACCTAGCGTAACCAATCAAATTTGAAAATGGATATCGGATTCGGCTATAGCATGATATTTTACCCTGTAACGAATCATTTTTGGCACCGCAGCTGTGCTCATTGATTTAATTCCGCTTTTTTGAAGCGCCTGGCCCACTGTGCCCCGGCCGAGAACAGCGGCTGTAGGGGCGCGCCCAGACACAGGTGATGGCTGTACAATCACTCAGGGAGAGGTGCTCCAGGTTGATTCGGGTCAGTTGTTTGTGGCCTGATATTAGGTCTGGGCTTGCAGATATGGCGAGTGGTGCCTGTCGTTGGCCTTAGGTTTTAGGCTAATGTGTTACGTGACTGCCAGTATGGGTGATGATCATGGCTGAATAGATGGATTTGGATGGATTGATGGATGGATGGATGGATGGATCTTCTGGATAAAAGATGTGATGCATATTTGGAGTTTGTTTTATATGGGTAAGGGTTCGATACCAACGGCTGAGAACTAAGGTCTGATTTAGTCCGATGCATACACACCGTTTTTGGGTCAATTTCTTGCATTAGCATAATCATGATTGACATAATACCTAATCACAGCGAAAAAATAACACCGAGCGTTTCATTGCTTAACTCTCTAACACACAGACTTAATGGATTCGTCAAAGTACACGTATGAGATGTGATGCAAAAAAATATATATATAAATATATGCAGCCACAAGTCCCGTACCAAGCACCACCTGATTATCCTCCGTCCTTCAACGTTGCAACGCAAGACATCCTAAGCCGCCACTAACCCGCTGAAAATGTCAACAGGTTATTATTGGTCAGCATTTACCGCTTCTTTCGCGTCGAAAATGTTTGGCTCATTAAAGTTTATTGGCTGAGTGAACAGCGGAAAAGTTAATCGACCGAAAGTGGACCACGGCACAAGGTAAATGCCGCAGCGGGACCTTGGGTCAGCTACTCCCATTTCGTTCTTTCTTGGTGCACAGGTTGATCGACCCGCCGGGTCACTTTGTTCAAATGTAGCAAACCAAGCGAGTAGCGACTGTCGGCTGGTGAGCGATGGGGCCATGACTGATATTACAGCCGTCAGATCCAGTGAGCTGTGCCGACACCCAGAAAATTGCAGTTCAGACTGAAAAATAGTAAATGCCAATCGGTTATGAAACTGCTGTGCAGAACCACAGCGAAGAGAAGGCTCGATATGATTCTCTGCATGCGATGGGCTAACGCCGCAAGAAATTCTCGAATGTTTCTAGAGGAGGATTTCACCCAAAGACAAGCACCCTCCAGAGCCTCTGATGAAGCCAATACTACCGTCGCCGCTGCCTGCCACCGGTCGAACTCGATCAATCTCCCCTGCAGGAGTCCCTGCGAACTCGCCCACCGCTGGAGCGGGGTTCCTAGCTTGCCGAGGGAATCCGTCTCAGGCAGGTGACAACGCCCTGCCGACCCGCGTAAGCAAAAATGAGGAGCACAGCTCGAGAGCAGAGCCCGATTGGCGATTACCCAGCTACCTGTGGGAGCACACAGCAGGTAACCAGCCACGCGGCCACCATAACCTCCTTTCAGAACCTGTACACCATGCTGGCTCCCCAAAGGATATGGGAATAATTTCGGGGCTTGTGTCGTTTGCATCCCAAAATATGTTTATCCTCGCAAGTCGTCGGATAGGAGCTTCTCGGCTTCCAGAAAATTCATCCGCTCAGACTACCGCTTCACCCAGCTTCAGGATGTAAAACTCAAAACGCCGTACCAAGTTACACATAAAACAGTGCAAGTGCACAAATGGGCGCATATTGATGCTCGAAACTATGTAATACATTCGCACGATGTTTGCATAAATAAACATTACGATCATAAGGATCAAAGTTAGACCATCCGGGTCGGTCAACACACGGCCATCTAAAAGGTCCGTATCAGCTCAAACTCGCTTCTCCCATCAAACAGTCTGTCACACCTTTGGGTGGTTTATTTCTCAGAGAGCTTTGCGACACCAACTGGGGCCGGCCGACCACGTTAGGCCGGTCCGACTACCTACTACAGATCACAACAGCGTGCCGACGGCAGCGCTCACGGCGCCGACAGACACACACACCGACACACGACAGCGCGCGCAGTTGGTCCCGATACAGTTACTTGGTCCCGGCTCGTCACAGACGGTTACATTTGGCACATGGGCCGCCGCCGCCGCCGCTCCGCAGGTGGTCCTGTGCTGGTCCCTCCACAGCAGCAGCAGTAGTGGCAGCAACAGCGGCGGCGGAGCGCAGCACAACGAGAGACGACACACCACTTACATCAATCAACGGCGGGGCCCATTGTGAAACGGGGCTTTACGCGTCAGCGAGTAAAAACCATGTTTGGCGAAAAGAACAGAAGAAACATCTAAAATGTTAAAACACCGGGAGAAGGGTACTAGATACGCAAAGGACTAGAATGTAACACATCTGCGGAGAACAGTGCATAGGTACGGTCACCGTAGGAGATCCAAAATTGGATTGCACTAAAGAGCTCACTGCTTAAATACCACCCGCCACCCTAACAAAGCACAAACAAATGCGGGCCTCCAGCCCGACACAGCACACTGCATATATGACGGTAACGCACGTTGAGGGGGGGGGGGGGCTGGCCAGCTTTGACCATCCGTCATCCAGTTATCCCTGGTCAGGTAACCACTCACTTCAGAGTGTTTTGACCCCAGTGGTCATGCATGGGACTCGATCTGACGACACAGTCAGATTTTCGTTGACTCGAACTTTTCGTATTTTTCGTTGAAAAATACATCGAAGGACGCTGTAAAAGAGAATCATATCCGGATATGAGGCAGCCACTGGATTCAAATCCGAATGCTCTGACCCGACCAATGACATCAAGTTAACGTAAAATAAATAAGATCAAAAGTTGGTGATAAATGGAATTATTTGCATATCAATTAGGTACCTGCTATGAACGCTAATCCATCCACACGCCGTCAAGCCAACAAAAAGGTTTCACAAGCATAGCGGGCCAGGGAGACAGTCGAGAGAAATCTGTTCGTGAATGAACAGTGCCTTCCGAACACCGACAGTCTCTTCACTGTCACACTTGCCTTCCTTCCCAGCCTTTTTCACATTTTAATTCGAGAAGCCCATGGGTAATGTTCTTGTATCTCACGGTTCTTTCTTGGTTCTTTCATATTACATATAATAATGTGCTAGGTAGGTACCGAAGTTCAGGTTTGTGTTCAAAGTTTGGTTATATTTTTGACGTATTCCTTCATAGCTAAGATCTTATTATTTCCTTACGCCTCTGAATAACAAATATCTTCCTTTGCTAATCTTCAGGATCACCTTCTCCACCCTCAAGCGGTGTGCGATCCACTATCGCCCGATCCCTCTCCTTCCATCTCGTCTTCCACTGCCCTCCCCCCGACTTCCGCTGCCACGTCCTCTCTGACCGTCTCCCCGGCCGGCGCCTATCGCATCAGCGCCAGGTACTCCTCGCGCGTCTTGGGGTCGTCGCGGAACACGCCCAGCATGCAGCTGGTCACCGTTTTGGCGTTAATCTTCTGCACGCCGCGCATCACCATGCACATGTGCGTGGCCTCGATGGTGACGGCCACGCCGCTCGGGTTGATAGCCTCGATGAGCGCGTGCGCGATCTGCTTGGTGAGCCGCTCCTGGACCTGCAGCCGGCGGCTGTAGATCTCCACAATACGCGCCACCTTGCTGAGGCCGAGCACCAGGCCGCGCGGCAGGTAGGCCACCGACACCTTGCCCATGAACGGCACCAGGTGGTGCTCGCACATGGAGAACATCTCGATCTCCTTGACGATCACCATCTCGTCGTGCTCCTCGTTGAAGACGGCCTCGTTGAGCACCTCCTGGATGGTCTGGTCGTAGCCCTTGGTGAAGTAGAGCAGCGCCTTGGCGGCCCGCTCGGGCGTCTTGAGCAGGCCGTCGCGATTGACGTCCTCACCGAGCGAGGTGAGCAGGTCCCGGTAGCTGTCGGCCATCCTGCCCACCAGCTTGTCCTTGGCCGTCGGACGGTGGTCCAGCTCCAGGTCGTTGTGGAACATGCACTTGGCGTGCGCCAGCGAGCTGCGCCGCCGCACCAGCGGGCCCATCACCTCCTGCTGCTCGCCGTCCTCGCCGTCGACGCTCTTGTGGCGGCCGTTGGAGGCATCACCGCTCTTGTGGCGGCCGTTGGTGGCATCACCGCTCTTGTGGCGGCCGTTGGTGGCATCACCGCTCTTGTGGCGGCCGTTGGTGGCATCACCGCTCTTGTGCCGGCCGTTGGTGCCCTCGGGACGATCTCCGTTCATGGCTGCACCGATTCAGACACTAGCTTCTCTCACTGATCACACCACGCGCGTAACACTGGGCCTCAGAGGTCAGCTCTGTGCGCCAGACAATTCCCGATAAACAACGCCACAGATTAAACAGAGCCCAGGCGGTCTGGCTGCTGTGACCTCGGACGTCTGGCGCGACTGCTGGAGCAGGCGGCAGCGACTGGCGCGAGAGGTGTGCTCCGACCGGCCGCGCGCCTCCCACTGACGTATCGACCGACCAGCCGCTGCCGACGGCGTGCCGAGACTGTTGCGCCGACCGGGCCGGGCGGCGGCCGCTGCCTCCGGCGGCGGTGCGGCGCCTGGGAAAGGCCCGCGCCCCTGTGCGGCCGGAGAGGGACCGGACTGCGGCGGACCGATCCGCCCCACACGACGACAGCACGCAGACAGCTCTTCTGGCACATGTCAATGTCAGCGGCCAAGTTCGTGACAGGCTCCAGAGAACTGTGTCATTGTTCATAAACGGAAGACTGCTGAGCTAATCGGATTAGAGTACGCACCGAGTACGTGTTTTCTAGACGCCTTTGGATTTGATTGGACGTGACATCTAAATGGTTTTTAAGATACATATTCGCAAAAACAGCGCCGCCGTTTTTGCATTCGAATTTTTGCATTGAAAAACTTTAGGGAACGGGTGTTAAAACGCCACCACCACTTAGATCAGCGCATTACGTCCCTTCATCTAACCCTCCAAAATTCATCCAACTCTTGAGTTCTCTCCGAAATTCTCTGGATTAGTTGCGCTTGACTTAACAAATGCGATTGGCCACGCTAGTCTGGAATTTCAGCCCACGCTAATGTCGCGGGCACCGTCATTTGCATCGCCACCCAACAGCCACGTCAGCCACAAATTCACGCCTTCCAGCCGGGCGCCGGCTCCATTGGATTTCCATTTGGGCCATTTCGCTGCCCGTGTCGGCCCGTCACATGTTACCCCGCCGCCCGCTCACGTGACCCGGCTACCAGTTCGGGCGCCGTAACATATGCCGACCACGTGACCGTCCGATGGCGCCCCCTCACGCCGGGTACTTAGGGAGGCCGATCGGTAACGGTGACAGCGCGGGACCGGATGGCCTGCTCAATGGCCGCTGCCGATGGCGAGACGCACCATTAGGCGGTGTGGCGGCGGCGGGACACAATGACCCCCAGCGTCACAATGACTCCCTAACCCCCCCCCCGGGGGGAGAGGTTAGGGAGGCCCCCCCCCCCCGGAGAGGGAAAGGAGAGGTCGGATATCGGTCACGGTTCACTGAGCACAGGCAATATGAGGAGGGGTCGCAACGCAAAACGATATTGTGAAAGTCGGTAATGTTTTCCAACACATGTGTGATAAGACCTCATTTGAGGGAGCTTGCTGCTTTTTTGACACTCAATCTAAATCCGGTAGAGTCAGGGGTATCGCAATTCGTATCCAATTGTGAATTCACTACAACACTGTCGGGAACAAGCATCCCGACTCGCTACTTACTGGCCGGCGCTAACGTAATCCATCCTTTTCCAGTCTGATTTAGTCGGACCGACCAGCCTCGATAGCTCACGTCACCCGGAAAGGCCTGCGAAGGTCGGAGGACTGTCCGAGTCGTCTGGACTGGACAGCCCCGATCTCTGACACGGTTGTGAGGTGACAAGTGGCAGCTCTACGAAACTCGCCGACTCGTTCACTGACAACGACCGTCCCGCCAGGCCCGTCCCAGCTGGACTAGCCCTGGCACGGCTTTGTGCCCAACAGTCTGAGGGTGAGAGCTTTCCACTGGCCAGGACCATTCGGTTGGCAGCATGCCAGTGTCACCCCCATCAGCGAGATATCCGGTTGTGTTTAAATAGAAAAACACAATTCTAACGAATAGTGGAAGTCTATTTCAAACAACCTGCGGTTAACCACCATCCTGCCGTCAGTGGCCCCAACACCGCACCAGACGGAGGCACCAGGTGCCGACCGGCCCGCAGATGGCGGTAGCAACGGCGGCCAGCCCTGGATACGGAGTTTGGGGTAATGTGAGATAACTAGTCCTGCTGACCGTCCGCCGCCCGGCTACTGAGGTTCATGCTAATCGTCATTGTTGCACGCACTAGTGCCACGAATCCAAAATCGAAAACTAGTGCCATTGATTGGGATCAGATGTAGACAAACTAGGTGGCCACTGCGGTCATACAGCCTTGGGCATAGGTGTAACAGCACCTGACAAGCAATGACGCCACAGGATGCTGATAGCAGATAGTGTTATCAATACCAGCACTATCAGCATAGCTGGGTGCTAAATGAATGCATAGTTTGGTGGAGAGGTGCCCAATGCATTACCATGCACTACAGTGCCTACTTATGCACAATGTAAGGCATTAATATTAATGCCCTAAAAGTATGCCACAGTGGCTGACCTGGGAGCACTTTCAGTCCCATCAAGTGACACTGCTTTAGGTTCAGATCTCCAGGCTCTTCCTCAAATGCACACAATATCCAACATGAATCAGGTGAAAGCATGATTTAAAATTCAGAATTGAAAGGAGTCTGAGAGCCATGCACAACTTCTTGCACCATTCATTCATTGGGTGGGTGCATTTCATCCTGATCTTGCATGGTATTGTTTTATGGTGACAGACTACAACAGTGTAGCCATTTTCTGAAAATTATCAAGAAATAAAATGCCTAGGAAAATCAAAGGCCATAAACTTGCCATACATAATCAATAAGCATATAACAATTATCAAAACACACTGTCAACTATATCAGATGAAGAAGATAAAGATGGATGAAAATCACTTTCCACATTCAGAAAACTGCAACTGGAAGCATGGAGTCATGTCCTGGACTGCCATTCATAGCCCAGCACATAACAAGGTTGCTAGGCTTGGCACAAAATAATCCATATCACCAATGTCCAGCTATGTGCCCTTGTATCCAGCTGCTATTCTTGAAACTGGCGGGTGCATATTTATGATCATGTCTTGTGGGGATAATCACACTCTAATCAGCAAGCCTTGGACAGTGAAACAAGCTCCTCCAACTTGCTCAATGCTCATGCTCTGCCTGGATCCTGTTTTGCAGTTGTGCATTTAAAGCTCATGTTTACTGCATTTCATTTCCACAGAAGGTACCAAATATGAATCCATTACCTTCTCACAAATGGCTTGATCCACTAATTTGCAACAACTTCCCTTGACCATAGGTTGCTGCCAGCAACTTTCTGTCATTATTTACCATTCATATAATACTTTGTCAACCTAGCTGATGCCCAACACTAGGGATGATAAGAAAGATCAGAATAGCAGTTCTGTCAAGCAAAGTATTTCAAATTACTCAAATTAGCAAATGATGGTCAAAGCACCTGCGCAAGTGCGCGCGCACTATTAGTTCATTGTTTATCAGTATGCTTCCGGTTCAGCCATGTGTAGCCCAATGTCATATCCCTTCTGTCATTGGAGAACAGCATGCCAGTTTATAATTTATATAGCCTTCAGCATGCCCACATCTACGTGAGCCTCAACTTGAAATGAAAATCCGAGAAACATAAGCAAGTCAGCAGGATTGGAGCGCTGACATTCGACAATAAGCCACAACCAATCAGTGCCTTGGCCACTGCTTCCTCAGCTCTTGAGTTTGAATAAGAGTGGTGTTCACTGGCACCACAAACTGCTGAGTGCGGTGTGTGCTGCAGGCTTGGGGTAGGCAGTTCTGACATCACGGCTGCGTGCGGTGGCCGGTTGGGACCGGCCACAGCGGCCACAGAAGACCGACGTAGGGACACAGTGGGCGGAGCTTGAAGGCTGTGTACAGTCCAACCGCACACAGTACCCGTAAACAGCCCTAAGGACAAGGTGTGTGAAAAAACATTTAAACTTAAAAGATCGAAAATGGAAGATTTAATACCTGAAATGCATTTTTAAATTCAACTATTAACAATCATATCGATTGAAATGAAGAAAGACTTTGACTGGTTTTTAATTAGGCTTTGACTTACCTTGAATAGGTGTCACTGGAATTCATCAAGATAAAATATCCAATTTTCTGGCAAAAGGCAGCTCAGTTTCAAGAAAGTGAACAGCAAGCACGGAAATTATAAACCAAACATATCTTCGATTCGTGTGTTGGCCTTCAACCTTCTGTCGTTGCTGTCAGAGGCTGTCAGAGCAGAGCCGTAAGTCGCAACATAACTTGAGCTAGCCCTGCACCGCCGTGAAGAAACTAAAAGTGATCACTATTTACTTTGCAAATAAAATCCCACCCAATCCCACCACAACTCGAACTTTTCCCCAACGCCTCCAGCCTGCTACGCCGTTGTCCTCGTGACTCATCGGATTGTGGCCTTTGTCTTGGCCTTTGTGTTTGTTGTGAAGCGACGATCATGGCGACAGTAGTCAGCTGTTCGCAGTGGTTTTCCGCTGAATAATTTAGCTGCTGCGTCCACCAAATTAGAGCTGCCGGCTCTTTCATTGGAGCGGGTACGCAAATCTAACATCCTTACAAATTTCCGATTCCCGCCAAGGGAAACTTTTTGTTTTCTATTCCTTGTAGCTCCGTAACTCGCCTTTTAACAGCGTTCACAGCTTAAAAGAATGAAATACCAGAACTGAATTACTCAATTGCTGGTTTCGACTGTCATGACCGGGAAATGGCTGATATTGATAATGGTGGTATAGGGTAATGTTGATGTTGTGGAATTAAAGAACCAATAATACTTCATGCTACGCAAACCGAATCCTTCCATTCGAAAAGCTTCCATTAAATTTCATTTACCATAATGCATGAACGGTTGAAGGTCCGCGTGGCAAAGTCGCAGTAAAAGTGGAGGCTAATTGATAAGTGAATCTCGCATCGTATCATCTCAACTCGAACTTTTCAAACGTCAAACACGGGCCACAATCTACGAAATGCATTTCACGATTAGTAAAAATATAAGTGGCTGTTAAAATCACCACGGCGATATAATACAGTTTCAGCGCAGGACGCCCGCGTAGGCAGCACAAGCTTCACGAAAGCCGTCCCACCGTACGGTCGGGAGGGCGACGCCACTCCTCGCCAGGAGAGCGGCAACAGCGGGGCTGGTGAGACACCTCCGTTGCAGAGATGCAGACTCCTAAACACAACTCTCCAGTTCCAATATCACATGATCGGCCTGTAGCGGTCGAAACACACCGCGCCAGTCCAGCCGATCCTTCGGTAGGCATCTACGTCACAACCAGCACAGCTGCCTGGAGCACCCCCTCCCCTCCCAGTTTGTCAGAATTGCTGTTACGGTCCCAGGAGCACAACACGAAACACATACATACCAGGGCAGAACTATAAGGGCACGAGTCGCGTTAGGAGCTCTGTCACACATCTGGCGCAGTACAAAGAATAACACGGAGTCATGGACTGAACTCAGTCGTCTCTGAGTCGCAGCTGAGTCACGGCAGAGTCACGGCTGAGTCACTCAGAGTCGCCGCTCAGATATCGAGCAGCTCAGAGGCGTCCCGGAGAGTGGCAGCGTCCGTGTTGACCAGAAACATGAGTCGGAACTCCTCGAGCACCGAGAGCTCGACGCTCCACAGTTTCTGCGTGCGGATCAGGTTGTTGAGCACGGTGGCCCGCTCGAGGTCGAGCCAGCGCTGCAGGGCGTCCTCTCCCTCAGTCAGCTCCAGGTCGGCGGGCCCCCAGAGCAGGAACTCTAGGACGGCGCGCGCGCGGCCCAGCGCCGCCGCGTCCTCTCGCAGCAGCAGGTTGGCCAGCAGCTCGAACGCGTTCAGTGAGGGCACGTCGGGCACGCTGACCCCGCGGCCGTCGGTGACCCGCTCCAGCGCGTCCTGGACACCCAGCATCCGCAGCATGACGGCCAGAGCCGCCTGACAGCCGGTCAGCTTCTGGCGGCCCTCGTAGTTGCCGTAGACGGCCACCAGGCGGCTCTGCGGGTCGCCCTCGGCGTCGGCGGCCACCAGCTCGCAGAGGGAGCGGTCGACGAACGTCTGTCCGCGCGCCTGCAGCTGCAGCAGGTGGTGGACCGTCTGCAGCAGCAGCAGACACACCTGCTGCTCCTGCTGCGGCCCGACCACCTCCGGCTGCGCGCAGACCACCTCCCAGAGCGGGCGCACCGTCACCGGCGGCAGCACCCACACCGTCGCTGTAAGAGAGGGAGACACACACAGCGGGGTTAGAGGAATACTAGGAAACACAAGCTTGATTCATCTCTTCATCTCGCAAAGTCAATGCAAGTTTTACAAAGTACAAACAATATCTACCAAGGAAACTTCTCCCTGGCCTCGGTATGAAGTAGACTGTAGAGTCTGTAAATATCTCTCCAACAGCTCTCATTTCATGTGAGCTTCTACACATTCCCTTCTGCTCACCCTGCATGGCGGAGGTGTAGGATCCGGTGCTGGCCCGCGGCAGCAGGTGGCCCTGCACCAGGTCACGGAACATGGCCACCGGCGGCAGAGAGGCGGCCGGGGTGGCCGCCGGCTCACTGCTCAGCATCAGCAGTACCGGCTGATCGCGGTGCGTGGCGCGCAGGAACGCTCGCCGGCCGCACGTCACGTGCGTCTCCGGAGACACCTTGAAGTGGGTGAACGCCAGCGCCGGATTGTGCTCGAGCGGCCGCAGTGCGGCCGGCACCGGCCGCCGGCCCGACACCTGGCGGACGGGACGGGAGTTAGAGCGTGATAGATGACGCGAACTATAGTACCGAGATCGGCCATCTGTAGCAGTTACCATCCGCCACTTCAGCATGAGCTTCAGCACGAGCAAAAAATAGCATGGAGATCTTGAATCGTATAGCATAAAAATAGGAAAGTCCTTTTTATGAAAACACAAATGGCAATAAACGAAAAAATCGATGAACAAACGGACGGCAACCGAATCAATATTTATCGGGGAACGGCCCACCACCCGCTGAGGTTCGCATTTCACCCGCCCCCGCCGACTGCGAGCGAGGCTCTCACGTGGCCCACGCACAATTTCTCCGTCTGCTCACGAGTCTGCCGGCGGCGTCCACGATCGACGGAGTCACTCTCACCACCCACCGTCTTCGTAACCAATCCTGCCCATCGTTCACCAGTCCCCAAATACCACGTCTCCTAAATCACCCAGTTCGTATCACCCAGTGTCCCGTCGTCACCCGTTTATCCGGCGTGCCTCTGTCACCGTAAATAAAACACCACCCGTCCCTGCACCAAATGTCATACCTTCCATAGTACTATCTCTCGCTCACCAGTCACTAACACCACTCCTCTGTCTCACCAACCAGCACCCACCATCCCCGTCACTAGACCGATCACCCGTCCACCAATCATCAAACACCACCAGCGCACCACTCAGTCACCACCCACGCCTCAACCCGTCCCCCTCCATCCCCCACTCCTCCCATACCTACCTGATCTAGCAGCTGCAGCAGCGCCTCGTGGTTACTGGCGGTGACGGCGTCGTAGTTTTCCTCCAGGTTCGCATGTACAACCGACGTCTGTTTGCGGAGGCTGACGCGCGACGGCCGCTGACGCGGCAGCTCGGCGTCCGCGCCTGCTGCTGATGCTGATGGTGACGATGATGTGGGAGGGGTGGGTGGCAGCGGCGCCTGGCGACACACAGACGGAGAGATGTCAGATGGGTGGGGCTCATACCGGTGGGATGGATACGAGATAATGTGGAGATCGGTAAATGCCTAAAACAGACACGGGTGACGCCTGGGTTGGACTGATGGGTATGCTAAATATAAATAGCTGTAATTAACTATATAAGATTAGATATAAATAGCATCGTAACACATCCGCTTTGGATAAATACAGATGGTTGATCATTTAGATGATCACATATCGACAGAAGAGACAACTTCCCAAGAAGCTGAGCATAAGCAAATAAGCAGCAAAATATTTAAACGATGACCAATCAGAACAGTGTTAGCACAAGGTCAAAAGTCTAAAAGTGAGAATAACTACGCTTCAGGTAGCGACAGGCAGACAGGACTTGCAATTTGCATTGTCGCGGACGGGAAACGCTGCCGAGGTGGCGATGAAAGCAGATGCATTGGTCACTATGCATCCGCATTTACATGAGGTCATGCTCGTGCTCATCACACTTGCCACGGCTTGCCGGTGTCCATCTCAGCTTTCTTTTGAGATAAAACCAGAAACTGCCCATGCGTTTCGATGGTAAAATAAGACACGTAGCCTATAAACCGAAAAGGTGAGCAAAACACTTCCCGCATTTCTTTTCCATACCCAGGCTTTCTTCGTTTGCGATAAAACCAGAAACCGCCCATGTGTTTCGATGTTAAAATAAGAAACATGGCCCATAAACCGCAAAGGTGAACAAAATGCTTTCCGTATCTCATAACCGTAAACCCGTCTGGCTGAGTATTTTATCTGCTTATATTTTCCGCCGAGCGCCGTATAACGGGGATCATGACCACCCGCCCAAAGAGCACAGCCACGCCCGGTCGTGTCTAGGGGTTCGAGGCGGCCCGGGCGTTCCCACAGCGGGTATATCCGCCCCACCCCGTCCGTGGGAGCCGCTCGTGGCGTCCGGGATGTCCCCGGCAGCTAACGAGACACGACCGAAGTCAGTCCGGTCGCCGGCGGCCGGGGCTGGTGCCTGTCCGGTCACACGAGCCGTACCCGTACTCGTACCTGGTTCGACGGCAGGCCATTGGTGGGAGAGTCCGCCACCGTCGGAGAGGCAGACGACACCTGAGGAGAGAACAAACAGTGGTTATCATAGGCTTAGCGTGACAGTCGTGACATGTGCGGAGCAGCAAATGAAGACTTGGATGTCGAGAACGCACACGATTTCGTTATTAGCGACAACATTATGAGCGTATTTAAGATCACATCAGCCACAGCTTCTCACATTCCAACGTCTTCACAATCGTTACAGTAGTTAAATATCACGTCGTTGCAAACCATACAAGAACTACACTTATCCCTCAGAAGGTCACGGTTTAAACGTTACGGTTCGTGAACCAGGCTTTAGCTTTGCCGGTAAATGCCGTAAGGTATCATAAATTTATTCCACGACTATCCTAGAAGGATGCATGCTAAAAAACGGCTCGGGTGTGCGGAACACTGGCACTTTGTGCTCCTTACACTCCAGTCTGGGTACTTTGACTCAAAGACCACCGCAAATGCCTCTGATATCCGTCATGCATAGTCGAATCTGAATCGCGTGATGGTGAATACAGCTAGAAGAGATTTGGGCCGACATCACGAAAGAGGAACAAGGTTAAAGATCACACTGCTTCAAGGCCAAACGGGGCGAGGAGATGAGAGTGAGACGTGACGT